GGGGGTGGGGGGCACTGTCGGACGAAGGGCACTGCTGGGCGGGTGGTGTCGTTCCCCAACGCCAGACAGAGCTGCGCAGGTGTTTGTTGACGCCTGGCTTTCCTCCAGGAAACACACCCGGAAGAACCACTTCTGGGGAGGAGAGGAAGCCCCCCCTCCCCCCAGGGCCCTGCGCACCGGAGGTGGTGGTGGTGGTCCTCCTCCTCCTGGGAAAGGTGGCCAGGCAGCCAGGCAAAGGGTGTGTCCAGACAGGGGAGTATAAAGGCTCCGGAGCATTGTTGGGGCTGGGCTGCTAATCCCTTTCATGGCCCCGCTTATCAGCAGAGGTGGAGCTGGGGAGGGGGGGAGGGCTGCTCCAGCCCAGCTGTAGGGCTCTTCCTCTGTGTGGAGGAAGCCACCTGCCCTTCAGAGGCTGCTGTGGGTGGCCTGCCCATCGGTACCCCTGGCGCCGCCATGCTGGTCGCGTGGGAGGCCCTGTGAAGGGCGCAAGAGGTGTGGGGGTGCATTCCCCGGGTGGGCCCTGTGTACGGAAGGCCTGCTGGGTCACAGTAGCCCTTGAGAGCTGGGGGGTCGTTCCTGACACTGTTTCCAGCCCTCTGCACGTCCCTGGCGCTCTCCCCTTGTTTCCCGGCTTTGCACGTCTGGGATAGTCACTCCGGCTTGGCTTGGTCACAGCTTCAGGGCCTCCCGAGGGTGGAAACCCGGCCTGAAGGTGGCCTCCTTTCTGCCCTCTTGGTGGCTGTCCCTGTGTTGCTGTTCAGAAAGGCCACTGTGTGATCCAGGCTTAGAAGTACTCTGCCTGCCTCTTTCCAGTTCTTTGCTCATTTACACAGCATGTGATTGAAACGTGGAGCTTGCTACCAGAAGATGTAGTGACGGCCGTAGGCATAGTCAGCTTTAAAGAGGGAGTAAACAGATTCATGGAGGAGAGGTCTGTCGGTGGCTACTAGCCACGGTGACTAAAGGGAACCACCATGTTCAGAAGCAGTCAACCTCGGAATCCCAGGGCCAGGAGGCAACATCAGGGGAAGGACTCAGCCTCCATGCCCTCTTTTTGGCCCTGTAGACGAACTGGCTGACCCCTGTGTGAGACGGGAGGCTGGACTGGATGGCCCCTCCCTGGTCTGACCCAGCAGGGCTCTTCTGATGTTCTTCTCAGGGGAAGGCCTCTGCCTCTCTGCCCTGTTTTTGGACCTCCAGAGGAACTGGTTGAGGCCCCTGTGTGAGACGGGATGCTGGACTAGAGGGACCCTCCCTGGTCTGACCCAGCAGGGCTCTTCTGATGTTCTTCTCAGGGGAAGGCCTCTGCCTCTCTGCCCTGTTTTTGGACCTCCAGAGGAACTGGTTGAGGCCCCTGTGTGAGACGGGATGCTGGACTAGAGGGACCCTCCCTGGTCTGACCCAGCAGGGCTCTTCTGATGTTCTTCTCAGGGGAAGGCCTCTGCCTCTCTGCCCTGTTTTTGGACCTCCAGAGGAACTGGTTGAGGCCCCTGTGTGAGACGGGATGCTGGACTAGAGGGACCCTCCCTGGTCTGACCCAGCAGGGCTCTTCTGATGTTCTTCTCAGGGGAAGGCCTCTGCCTCTCTGCCCTGTTTTTGGACCTCCAGAGGAACTGGTTGAGGCCCCTGTGTGAGACGGGATGCTGGACTAGAGGGACCCTCCCTGGTCTGACCCAGCAGGGCTCTTCTGATGTTCTTCTCAGGGGAAGGCCTCTGCCTCTCTGCCCTGTTTTTGGACCTCCAGAGGAACTGGTTGAGGCCCCTGTGTGAGACGGGATGCTGGACTAGAGGGACCCTCCCTGGTCTGACCCAGCAGGGCTCTTCTGATGTTCTTCTCAGGGGAAGGCCTCTGCCTCTCTGCCCTGTTTTTGGACCTCCAGAGGAACTGGTTGAGGCCCCTGTGTGAGACGGGATGCTGGACTAGAGGGACCCTCCCTGGTCTGACCCAGCAGGGCTCTTCTGATGTTCTTCTCAGGGGAAGGCCTCTGCCTCTCTGCCCTGTTTTTGGACCTCCAGAGGAACTGGTTGAGGCCCCTGTGTGAGACGGGATGCTGGACTAGAGGGACCCTCCCTGGTCTGACCCAGCAGGGCTCTTCTGATGTTCTTCTCAGGGGAAGGCCTCTGCCTCTCTGCCCTGTTTTTGGACCTCCAGAGGAACTGGTTGAGGCCCCTGTGTGAGACGGGATGCTGGACCGGATGGGCCCTCATTGGTCCGACCCAGCAGGGCTCTTCTCATGTCCATTTGGTGGCTTTGCTCATGGGTGCAGTCACCAGAGGGATCAGAGGTGCTCACTTCCTGTATCTCAGGTGCTCTGTAGGGGAGTGAGAATCACCAGCAGCAAGAGCCGATCCCCCTGTCCCCCCCCCCCAGTCTGCATCCGGAGGCCTTGCGCTCTGTTTCTCTGTCGCAGCACTTTCTTTGCTTTCCCTGGGTCAGTGGCAAGCTGGGAGGGTGAGCAAGCACTCAATGCTACGTTTGGAGCCTGTGGTTAGAATTAGGGTGGGGTGTAATTACAGCCGTTGATGGCCGAGAAACCCCTGGGCACACACTTGGAGAGGTGGCCCAGTGGGGCAAAAGAGACTTCGCGAGGCTGAGTGGCTGGAATACCGTGTGTGGTGACCGCATCTGGGTAGGTAACTCTCCCTTCTCTCTTCCTCCCCACAACCCCACCCCTCTCCAGCAGGAGGAGAACAATGAAGGCCGGCTGCAGCATCGTGGAGAAGCCAGAGGGAGGCGGAGGTGAGGCCCCCCCCCACCTTGATCCTTCTGATTGTGACACTGGGCAGATGACTTGTGCCAGAGTAAATGTCCCCCTAAAGGGCCGCTTTCCCCCGTGCTCACCCTTCTGAGGTTCCGTTGACCTTGGCTTCACTTATGAAGCGCTTCCAGATAGGGCTGTGAATTGGTGAGGCAGGAAATATCATGCCCGGATGGGGGGGTTGCCCCCCCCCCCCCCCCGAGCAGGGCACCAGGCACCTTGAAACGTCTACGAATGTTAAGCAAAACCCAAATGAACGAGGGAGGGAAGCCCGAAACTGCCTGATGCCAAGAGGGTCTGACCTGGGGTCTCCCAAGCTGAAAGACCCAGCAGCTTCCGTGCGTCATCGCCGCCGCCGCTGACAGGCGCTTTTAAGAGTGCACGTTGCGTTTGCCGCCTTTGCGTGACCCCCGAGGAACTGGTTAGCCTTCCTAAGTAACACTGCCAGCTTTTCACTCTAAAACCCTGCGCGCACCTTGAACTCTGGGATGGTTTTCCTCACCAGTTTGGTGTAGTGGTTAAGGGTGCGGACTCTAATCTGGGAGAACCGGGTTTGATTCCCCACTCCTCCACTTGCACCTGGCTGGGTGACCTTGGGCAAGCCGTAGTTCTGATAAGGCCTTTCCTCAAAAAAGAGCCGTTTCTGTCAAGAGCTCTCTCAGCCCCACCCACCTCACAAGGTGTCTGCTGTGGGGAGGGGAAGGGAAAGGAGTTTGTGAGCCGCTCTGAGACTCCCTTGGGTAGTGAAGAGCCATGGGGTATAAATCCAATCTCTTCTTCTTCTTCTCCTCATGAGCATGTGCAAGGTTAGCTTTTGCTGCGCAAGTTTTCACCAGTTGAGTGGCTGTTAAGAGACTGGCTGAAAAGGTCTTGCGAAAACTCTGCAAAGCGGGATGGGGTGTGTGTGTGGACAGCTCAGTGGCATCACTGGGATTTGGCCAGAGCCGCTCTTTGCCTTCAGGAAGGGGGGCTCACTCGTGGACGGGGTGCCGCCTGTTGCTTTCTAACGATGCCCTTTCTGGCGTTCGGCTCTCCAGGCTACCACTTCCCCGACTGGGCCTACAAGACGGAGTCCAGCCCGGGCTCCCGCCAGATCCAGCTCTGGCACTTCATCCTGGAGCTGCTGCAGAAGGAGGAGTTCCGCCACGTCATCGCCTGGCAGCAGGGAGAGTACGGGGAGTTTGTGATCAAGGATCCCGACGAGGTGGCGCGGCTGTGGGGCAGGAGGAAGTGCAAGCCCCAGATGAACTACGACAAGCTGAGCCGGGCCCTCAGGTCAGCAGGGGGGCAGTGCCGGGAGGCGGCAGGGCAGGGTGTTCTTGTGCATCCTGAAGGGAAACCCTCATTTCGGACTGGCCCAGGCCTTTCCGCAGGGTTTGGCTCTCTCCTGGCACGTGGCCACGGACCTGCCTCTTGCATGCGGAACTCTGCAGTCTGAAATGCTTGGGCCCGCGTTCCTGGAGCCGAGACCCCTGTGCGTGGAACTGGCCTTTGAGCAATCAAAGCGTGGGATTTCCAGGAGAGTTCCCGACCTTGTTCTCCTTTGAAGCTCGGGTGATGTCAATAAGAGCCTTGAGTTCTTTGTTGTAGCTGGTAAGCCAAGAACGGCTGGTGTTCCTGATGAGCAGCAGCTGGCTTTCCAGGGCTCAATTCCATTATTGCAGAAGCAGGATTAATGCTGGTTTTCCGGGCAGTTGGAGATTTGGAGCGTGGGCACTGGAGATCTCCCCACTGCTTAGTGGGTGTGTCTCAGCTTAGGTCTGCCACGGGTCCTTTCATGGGCAGCACTTCAGGGCTGGTCGCTGCCACTTGGCGACCAACCCAGGGGGGGGATCTGCTTCCCTGAGGTGCTGGCCACCATGCGCCCCGGCGAGCATTTGTCATGGCTTTGGCTGTCCCAACTGGGCTCTGGCCACCCGCGGCCCTCCCCCCATGCCCTTGGCCGAGGCCTTGGCCTCCTGAGACCCACCTGCAGCAAGAGCTCTGGGCAGGTGGGTGGGCGGGCAGGGCACAGGCCAAGACAGGCAAGGCCAAGCGGGTGGCAGTTTATAGAGTGGAAGAGGAAGGAAGTAATACACTGAAAAATGCAAATGTACTGGTAGATTCCTGGGGAGGGAAGCAAAATTCTTAGTTTTTGTTTTCAGTTCTGCTGAGGCTGGTCGTGGGGAGATGAGTCAGCGGGGCTTCCCCTCTCCCTGGCCAGCTGGGTTCCCTCGCCATCCCTTCTGGCTGAGGAGCGGAACCCAGCTTGAACTGGGGGAGGGAAGGTCCCCAGGGTTTTATCTCCCAGGGCAGGAGGCGTGTGGTAGAGAACCATATGGAGCAGAGGTCCACCAGTGGCTCTTAGCCACAAGGTATAGAGAGGGACTCTTGGACCGGGGCAAGGGATGCTCTGTGTTCTTGGTGCTTGGGGGGGGGCAACAGTGGGAGGGCTCCTGGTGTCCTCCTAGCCCCACTGCTGGACCTCCTGATGGCCCCTGGTATTTTTGGCCCCCACTGTGTGACAGACAGAGTGTGGGATTGGACAGGCCATTGGCCTGATCCAACATGGGCTTCTCTCTTGTGTTCTTACGGTCTCTCATTTTCCTGCAGATACTATTACAACAAGAGGATCCTTCACAAGACCAAGGGGAAGAGGTTCACCTATAAGTTCAACTTCAATAAGCTGGTGATGCCCAACTACCCGTTCATCAACATCCGGCCCAACGGTGAGTGGAGGGGCAGGGGGTGCCCAGTGCTGTGGGGGGGGGGACCCGAGGCCTCCTTGAGGTGCTCCCGGGTGGTTTTGACACTCTCTGAGGCCATGCAGAGCAAGAGCGAGAGAGCAGCACACGCAGTTTGGAGGGCTGTGTCAGGGTTGGGGTCCGGGAGTGGGGGTGCGTGCCGGACCCACCCGCTCGGCGTTGTGTGCTTCATGCCACTTGCCCTCCCCGGGAGAAGCCCAACCTCTCTGCAGGCAGCCACTCTTTACACCGCAGCCTCAGCCTCAGACAGGGAAGGGGCTGGATGTTGGGCGCCCGTTCCCTTCCCAAGGGGCTCTCGCTGGCAAGCCCCGGCTGGCGGGTGCGCAGTGCAGTCGTGCGGGTTCCGTGAGAGCAGAGGGGCGGCGCGGAGGTGGCCCGAGTGGCATGCGGGACCAGGGCTCCACCCTCCCCCAGCTTTGTAGGTATAGCTGTGGTATTCTCCCCCCCACCCACTTGCTCGCGGCCCTCCCCATGCTGGAAACCTGCCTTCTGGCTCCCGTTGATGCTGCGTGTGTGTTTTGGTGGTCTCCCCCCCCACACACACACACTTCATACCCAGGCCGGAACTTCTTAGCGTGTGCGTCAGTTTCGGGGCCATTGGCAGCTTTTCACCAAAAAACAGCCTGGGACAGTTGGTGACTAATCCAGGCTTTGCGTTTGCCATTGTAAAAGTAACACCCGTGTCACGGACATGGAAAAAAACAATCCCGCCGACTCCCGTTTCGTGTGGGTTTCCTAAGGCACTCCTCTGTCACACTTGTGCGCTCCCTTATGTACTTCCTGCACCCTGGTGAGGGCCTGGAGCGCCCACCTGCCTGTTGCTGGATGGGGGAGGCCTGTCTGGTGGCCGTCGTACCAGCCAAGGCTACCTCTAAGCTGTGGAGTCTTGTGAGCAGGAATTCAACTCTGTAAGCTGCTGGCATTAAAGTTATGAGCGAGCGATTTGGCTATATTGCATGAATCAGTTTGTTCTGGAGCCATCCGTCCTGAGCTGAGACAAAAATGTGTGAGCCTGAGGCTAAAAAACTGCGAGCTAGCTCACACCGACTCAGCTTAGAGGGAACAGTGCCCCCCACCAATGCTCCCTCTAAGCTGTGGAGTCCTGAAAGGAAAAATTCCACTTTATGAGCTCCTGGCAGGAAAGTTGTGAGCGAGCGATTTGGCTGCTGCATAAATCAGTTTGCTCTGGAGCTGCCCTCCTTCCGGAGCCGAGACAAAAAGGTGTGAGCTGGAGGCTAAAAAACTGAGCTGGCTCACGCCAACTCAGCTTAGAGGGAGCACTGGCGCCAACCCCCTGTGGCTTGGGAGTGGTGGTGGTGCAGGAGCTCTGGGCAGACGCGGGACAGGTGAGAGACCCTCCTTTCCCCAAGGAGCCCTCCCTGCACACAGGTGGGGAGAGGCAGTGGCTGAGAGCTGCATTTCATTCTTCAGTTGCTGCCTGAGCTGCCCGGCCGGCCGGTCTCTGCTGGGCAGGAGCGTTTCCCAAGCACCGAAGCCGGTGGCTGCCTGGAGGCTGCGGTTGGGACAGAGGCCTGTCTATTTGCTTTGGGCTGTGCGGGGAATGGCTAGGGGGAAACCTCAGGAAGTGTCGCCTGAGAGCCTGCCTGCCTGCCTGCCCGAGGACATCAGGGAGAGGCAGGGTGGCGAGTATCCTTCGGGGTGGAGTGGGGGGCAATGTTCCCTCTAAGCTGTGGAGTCTTGTGAGCAAAAGGTCTATTTTCTGAGCTCCTGGCATTAAAGTTGTGAGGGAGCGATTTGGCTCCTGCATAAATTAGTTTGCTCTGGAGCCATCTTTCCTGAGCGAAGACAAAAATGTGTGAGCCGGAGGCTAAAACACTTTGAGCTGGCTCACACCAACTCAACTTAGAGGGAACACTGGTGTGTGTGGGGGGGCATGCCCTGTTTTTGGAAGGGAGGAGGGCTTCTCTTGGACAAAGGCCATGTTGATCGGGTGTCGGCAGGAGATTCCTGAAGGCATCTTATCCTCGAGATCCTTGGTCTGCAAGGATTCTCAGCTGGAGGCAAAAATCCATTCCTGGAAACGGGGGGCGGGGTGGTGGTGGCCTCCCTTCAGCCCCGGGCGTGGGCTGCTGCTGAGCAAGGGTTCCCTGCTTGGCACCGTGAAGGAGGACCCGGGTGGCGGAGCCAGGTGGCTGCGTGTTCCTCCAGCTGGAGCTGTCCTGCCGGAGCGGAGGGGAATCCCGCAACAAGTCCGGGCAGTTGCCCGCTGGTGGTGACTCTTCCTCCGTTCCTGCTTGCGGGCACTCCCCGGGGCAGGCGGGCAGGGCGCTCGTCTCCCGGAATGCGTCTTGGCGCATCTTTGCGGTGGCAGCTTGTTTTCTTTCCTCCTGCTCAGAGAGAGAGGTGTGGAGGCTGACCCACCCGACCTGTTCTGGAGGGCCTGTGCGCCTGCCACACCCACACCGGGTGTCTTGACGCAAGAGCCTGCCTGGCGTTGGGCACAGCACTGGCAGAGGGCTCTGCCAGTCAGTCTCGATGACGCTTTGGGAGGGGCAGCCGTGCATCCTGGGAGGGGTGGGCGCGATTCATCTGCCGCAGAGGAGGCTTCCGGCTGGCGTGTGAGGCCTTCCCGGGGGGGGCTTTGTCTGAAGCCGGTTGGGGCGCCTCGGGAGAGAGGTTTGGCCCAGCAGCCAGCCCATTCTGTGGCACAGCTGGCCCCACAACATCCCGTGTGAAAAGCGACTCTTAAGAATAGAAAGTGTGAGGCGCCTTGAAGAGGAGGGGCCCGGGAGAGATTGGGTGCTTGGGGGGGCGACAGTGGGAGGGGCTTCTAGCATCCTCCTGGCCCTGCTGCTGGACCTCCAGAGGGCACCATTTTCTCTGAGCATGGGCTGAGTTCCCCAAGGAGCCTTTTGCCCCCCCCCCAACTGTCAAGCCCGGCAGTTGCCCCCAGGCGACCCTGGTCCATCAGCAGCTATCAGCAGAGGTCCATCAGTGGCTATGAGCCACAAGGTATAGATAGGAACTCTCGGTCTGGGGCAGGTGATGCTCTGTCTTCTTGGTGCTTGGGGGGGGCAGCAGTGGGAGGGCTTCTAGTCTCCTGGCCCCACCGCTGGACCTCCTGATGGCACCTGGTATTTTTGGCCCCTGTGTGACAGAGTGTTGGACTGGATGGGCCATTGGCCTGACCCAACATTGGCTTATCTTATGGTCTTATGTCTGGGGCAAGGGATGCTCTGTCTTCTTGGTACTTGGGAGGGGGCAACAGTGGGAGGGCTTCTAGTGTCCTGGCCCTGCTGCTGGACCTCCTGATGGCACCTGGTATATCTGGCCACTGTGTGACACAGAGTGTTGGACTGGATGGGCCACTAGCCTGATCCAACATGGGCTTCTCTTATGTTCTTATGTCTGGGGCAAGTGATGCACTGTATTCTTGGTGCTGGGGGAAGGGGCACATTGGGAGGGGCTTCTAGTGTCCTGGCCCCACTACTGGACCTCCTGATGGCCCCTGGTATTTTTGGCCACTGTCTGACACAGAGTGTTGGACTGGATGGGCCATTGGCTTCCCTCAGGTTCGTATGTTCTTATGACCCTTGGTGTTGGCACATTCTTCTATTGTCATTTATCTAAAGCATTTATTAGCTGCCTTTTTACCTTATAGAAATTCTTGGCAGCTTGCAGTTTAAATAAAATAAAATACAATAAAATGCATGAGAACCACAACTTAAAGCTAGTGATTCGTAATTGCCGGAAGGCAGAAGAGCTAATCAAACGTCATTACAAATTAAACCGTCTTCAGCTGCCTCCTGCTGATGGTTGCAATGGGGGGGGGGCAGGCCACCCTCCCGGGGAGCGGGTTGTTCCATAATTGCGGGGCTGCCCCCGAAAAGGCCGTCTCTCATGTCCCTCTCAAGCAAGCCTCTCTGATTGGTGGGACAGTCCAGAGGGCCTCTGCCTGTGATTTCAAGTCCCAGGCAGGGACATTTGGGAGAAGGAAGTAAGTCCTCCAGAAACCAGACAGGGCTCTAAAGGTCAAGACCAACGACTTGGATTGGGCTCGGGAGCCGATCGGAAGCCAGTGTGATCGCTGTAGGATTGAGGTCAGATGCTCCCAGCAGCTGGCCCTGGCCGGCAGTCTAGCTGCAGGTTCCAAACACCCTTCAAGGGTTAGCCCCAAGTGGAGGGCCTTGCAGTAGTCCAGCGTAGATGTGACCAAGTGAGACTGAGCTGGGAGTGGGCGCAGCCGGCTCACCAGACAAACCTGGGCAAAAGCGCTCCAGGCCATTGTTCCCTCTAAGCTGAGTCGGTGTGAGTTAACTCACAGGGTTTTTTTGCCTCTGGCTCACGCATTTTTGTCTCGGCTCAGGAAGGATGGCTCCAGAGCAGACTAATTTATGCAGCAGCCAAGTTGCTCGCTCACAACTGTAATGCCAGTCGCTCACCAAGTAGAGTTTTTGCTCACAAGACTCTCCACCGCTTTGAGGGAGCATTGCTCCAGACCCCAGCAGCCCCCTGATTAAGGTGACCGCTGTGTTGACCAGCCCTCCCAAGCAGCAGACCGGACTTTCCCAGGGGAGTGCGTAACCCCATCCAGGACAGGGTGTGTGTGTGGGGGGGGGGGGCACTGGCGATGCTCGTGGTCCCAAACCCAGGGAAAGGCAGGTGAGAGGAGGGAGCTCTGGTGGAGGGGAGTCCTCCTGGCCAGCCCCTGCCGGGTCCCTCTGGCCTCCACGGCGCGTTCCCATCCCCTTGCGTGGCACGCGGGTGCCTCGGTCTGCAAGCTGGGCGTGAGCCTTGGGCGGGCCTCTCTTCCTAATGCTGGTCTCCTGTTTCCTCCTCCTCCCCTCCTGGCAGGTGTTGTCCCGCAGAGCGCCCCTCCTGTCCCCACGGCTTCCTCCCGGTTCCATTTCCCTCCGCTGGACAGCCACTCTCCCACCGAAGACCCCCAGCCGAACCGCTTCTCGACCCGGTCCCTGGTGCCGCCGGGCCAAGAGTCCCTGAACAACCACCACGGCAGCGGCAGCAGCCTCGGCGAGAAGTCGTCCCCGGGGCCGGAGCTGGACGGCGGCTCTCCCGACTGGAGGCGTGGGGTGGACCTCCTGCCCGCTCGCAGCGCGGCCTCCGGGGCGGCCGGAGGCGGCCCCCCCAAGCGCAAGCCAGACCTGGTGCTGCCTCTCTTCAGCCGGCCGGGGATGTACCCCCACGACCCCCACAGCCCCTTTGCCCTCTCCCCGCTCCCAGCCCGCGGAGGCCTCTTGAGCGTCCCGCTCTCCCCGGCCTTGTCCCTGACGCCCACCCTCTTCTCCTACAGCCCCTCCCCGGGCATGAGCCCCTTCCCGGGCGGCGGCAGCTGCTTCTCCTTCAACCCCGACGACATGAAGCACTACCTCCACTCGCAGGCCTGCTCCGTCTTCAACTACCACCTCAGCCCCAGGACCTTCCCCCGCTACCCCGGGCTCCTGATCCCGCCTCTGCAGCGCCAGGCGCCCCCGGAGGAACAGCCCCCCTTCCCCATCAAGCTGCAGCCCCCACCGGCGGGGCGCAAGAACCGAGAGAGGCCGGAGAGTGGCGGCGGGGGCGGGGCGGGGGCGTCGCAGGCCCCTCCCCCCTTGTCTCCCCAAGTCAAGAGGGAGCCTCTTCTGGACACGGAAGCGGAGAGCAGAGATTCCCCCGAGGAGAAGGAGGACCAAGGGGGCGAGGAGGAGGAGGAGGGTGGGGCCAGCCAGGAAGTGGGGGAGGCTCTGTTTGCCAGGCCTGTGGCCCCCTCGTGGCCCGTGGCCCCGCCCGCCCCGGCCCCCTTGCCAGCGAGTGAAAAGCAGAAGGGAGAGGAAGGCGGGGGCGAGAGGAGCCCCCCGGAGCCCACGGGGGACCTGAGTGCCCAGGAGAAGAGGGAAGATGCGGCGATGCCGCCCAAGCTGCGCCTCAAGCGCCGTTGGCATGGCGACCGGCAAGCGGACTTCCTGGAGGAGGGCTGGGGCAGGAAGCCCTTCTGGGGGGAAGGTCCCCTGAGCAACCCGCACGGCCTGGCGGCTCCGGCGGCAGCGGCGGCAGATGCGTAGGCCAGCGGAGGAGGCCGGGGGGGTGGGGGGTCCTAATGTAGCAGAGTTTGCTGG